CAAATGCCTTACTGGCTTACTATTGCTCTGGCCCCTTCTTTAAATTTCTTTTAATAAAAACTATTTTGCTTAAAAAAAGCAAAACAAAACACCAAACTATTGCTCCAATAAATGAATTCAATAGAGCTATAAGGATTCATAGCAAAACAAAAAATTTTATTTTTATATATTTACAAGGAACACTTAAAAATGAAACAAAAAATGTCATCCAAAACAGCATCATTTGGTTTTTGGGCCACACCAGCTATGCACATGGATAACTCCTGGGATGCTCGTATCATACTCCCTACTAACAAACTAATTTATTTTGTTTTCTTGGTGGGGGGCATGCCTGGCTGTGCTCAGGGCTTACTCTTGGCTCTGTGCTCAGGGGTCACTCCTAGCAGGATTTGGGGGATCAAGTCCAGGTCAGCTCTGTGCAATGCAAACGCCCTCCCCTCTGCACTACTATGCTAGCACCTCAAACTAATTTTGTTTCATTTCGTATTTCAAAACTTGAAATATTTTATTAGTTCTAGTGATTTTCTGAGGAATCTGTAGGTTTCTACATAATGTACTAAGTCAACTGCAAACAGATAATACGGTCTTCCACAAATCTATTTCTCCCATATATATCTGTTGTCTTCAATGAAACGAAAGCCAATTTAGCCTTGAAATGTTTAGTGTTCTCACATGTCCCATAATAAATTTTTCAGCTACTGAATTATAAGCAATTATAGAAGGTTACTGACAGGTTTATATTCAGGAAAAATTTCTAGCTTCCTCTTGGAAGAAGACATATATCACAGCTCTGCAGAGGGCCCCGAAAATGAGGCTGCTCTCGTCAGAGACTGACCACAGAACATGGGCTCCCAACTGCAGGGAGATTCTGATAAACAACACTGTATCCAGATGCGTGATAACAAAGATTACAGGACTGCGTGAAGATCTGCCCCTGCCTATTCAGATGTGAAATAAGACAAGACATTTTTAATCCATAACTGTACTAGGATGGATTATAATTATCTTGAAAATTTTCATAAGGAAGGTTTCTATGATTTATTATGGACAATATGGATTAGTGTGGAGTGAAAGAACAAAATCTAAATTAGGTCTCATTCTTGACAGTGAAAACACTGATGAAAACAAGAAATAATTCAATGAGCAGACTAAAAAGGAAGGTTATGTGAAGCATATTCATAATTCAACATATACAAGAATCTCAGACTGGCCTGACATGTTTGGGGCCCTCCCGAGCTATTCAAGAGGTTGGGCGGTACCGGGGTCTGAGGCCCATCCATGCTCTAGCTGCTGCCTTCTCCCAGCCCACAGCTCAGCGTTTTAAACATAACTCCAGATAAAACCTGACCAAGAGGTTTACTGTTTTGTCTTTAATTCTGGCCAGTTTGGTTTCAATTTTTCACACATTTTAACTAAAGACTATTTAACATTCAAAAATAAGGGCACGCTGTTACCTGAACAGTAAATACACTGTCAAACACTGTCCTCCCATTGTTCATCGATTTGCTCGAGGGGGCCCAGTAACGTCTCCATTGTGAGACTCCTTGTTACTGTAGAGAGCCTGGCAAGCTACCGAGAGTATTCGGTATGCCAAACAGTAAATAAATCACATGAAAATGTATCCCACTGGTAGGAAGCAGTGCGGTTCACTCTTATTTTCTGTCTTCCACTGTCCTTAAATTTCCCCCCCTCAGGATTCTCTTTTTGAATAGAATTCAAGAAATAGTGTGTTCCCTCCACCTGCCGCACTTTATTTAAACAAAATAAATAGTTTTGTTTACAAAGAACAAAGTTCACAAAGTTGCTCATGATGATTTGTTCCAGGCATTCAATATTCCACCCCTAGCCCACCGGTGTCACCTTCCCTCCATCACTGCTCCGTTTTTCCAACCACCCCTCAAGCCTGCCCCCGTGGCGAGCCCACACTTATTTATTTTATTTTGCTTGTAACCAGTAATGTTCTTAAACATTATAAAAAAAAAGGACCTTCCATTCACTTCATGGTTGCCTGTAAGTCATGGAGATGACCTTTCACTCGGGAAAGGATTCTGCGCACAGTCAGTAGCGCGCTCTGCAGTTACTGTTAGTCCATCAGTAAGAAGCTGGAGCAACCCGCCCCCCTGTCCACCCATTTTTCTCTTTTTAAATGAGTCACTCAAATTTTTTAGCACAAGAACACATTTTAAAATTGCATTAATACTTTTTAATATCTCCTGAAGGGCCAGTAGTCTATTGACTGGCTGTATCTCTAAGCTCAAAGATGAGGAGTTAAACATGAATAATTCAGGGCAAAAATAAATCTCTACTATAAAGTATGGTACTAAGACCAGATCATAGATTATACTGTAAAACCAATTCCCTCATGAATAAAATCATCTCTATTATTCAAAGTGCACCTGATTATAACTAATAAATTAGATCTAGTTTGTAAAGTAGATCTATCCTCATGGTAAGTAAGACACAGGATTCCCGATGATGGAGTATACAAATCACAAGTCCAGCACTGAACACTGAACTAGTTTGCTCTAATTTCATCCCATTTTAACTCAGCACTTCAAAATCCAGCACATTTCATCCTGAAGATACTGGCTAGGTATGTCAGAGAATGGCACTGCCTTTTGTGTTCAAAATCGAGTGTTACACACACACACACACACACACACACACACACAACTGTTGTTTTGTTTCATTTGTTTACTTGTTTTTGCTTTTGGGCCACACCTGGTGTTGCTCAGTCAGGGGTTACCCCTGACTCTGCACTCAGAAATTACTCCTAGCAGTGTACTAGATGAAATGTCAGGGATCTAGCCTGGGTCAGCCACATGCAAGGTGAACACCCTCCCCAGTATACTAGCCTTGAGGCCTAAATATTTTAAAACTACGAGAACAATGTATTTATAGAAGAATCAGCTAATCTGTGTTCTAGTCTCAGATTATTTTTTTATAAACTTTTTACAGCATTTTACAAACATTCACCCCTTTCTAGAACTCATGTGCAATAGAAGTGCTAGTGATTTAAAATGGTATACTATATTAACAAAGCATTCTCATAATGCTATTAATATTTCCCAACTTTCTTGTGAATTTCACATTATAGATAAGAAACTGGGGGATGAGAGATAGTCCAGAGGGCAGGAACTTTGCCTTGCATGTGGCAGACCTGGGTTTGATCCCTGACATGCCACATGATCCCTGAGTCTGTCAGGACTAATCTGTAATACAGAAGCAGGAGGAAGCCCTGAACACCACAGGATATGGTCCCCAGAAAACAAAAACAAACAAAAATACAGATGAAGAAATGGGAGCTTTGGGTAATTCCGGGAGTTGCAAAGTTATAATAGCTCACAAATGGATGAGTTTAAAATTAAATTCTTTTCAGTTCTATTCTTTATACTTCTTTTTGGTCCACAAAACAACAGATTTCAATCATTTCCTTTTAATTCAAATATTCTGTGTTTCACTGGATGTGACACCAATGAAATTTCTTCCAATTGCCAAAGGTTATATATTGATTTAATGTATGTATGAGTTTATCTCTGGGTTCTCTATTCTGATCTAGTCTTCATGTCTATACCACCACACTGTTACACTGTTTTGATTTCTGTAGCTTTGTTTTATAATACATTTAAAAAAACAGAAAATGTGGTACTGGTTGCTCTTTATTCTCTTTCCAATAAAATATGGCTATATTTTCTATTTCTGAAAATCTGTAAAGTAAAGTAAAGGCCCTCCCGTTGATCATCGATTTGCTCGAGCAGGCCCAGTAATGTCTCCATTGGAGACTTTGTTGTTACTGTGTTTGGCATATCGAATACGTCACGGGGAGCTTGCCAGGCTCTGCCGTGTGGGCGAGATACTCTTGGTAGCTTGCCGGGCTATCCGAGAGGGGTGGAGGAATCAAACTCGGGTTGGCCATGTTGGCTGCGTGCAAGGCAAACGACCTACCGCTGTGCTATCGCTCCAGCCCCATGAAAATCTGTAAGGTTTAAAAAAATGAAAAAATTAGGGGAGAGAGAGAGAGAGAGAGAGAGAGAGAGAGAGAGAGAGAGAGAGAGAGAGAGAGAACAGTAGGAAAGGCCTGTCTTACATGTGACTGACCTAGGTTCCATCCCCAGCTCCATGACCCCATGTCCCTGAACAAGAGCTGCCCAGCATCTCCCCAACCCCCACATCAAATATATATATATATACATATATGACACACATACTGATAGAAAAGATATTAAAGGTAACATGTTTACAGTAAAAAAAATCTGTTATAAATTTTTGTTTGTTTTGGGCCTCACCCAGCTGTGCTAAGGTAATGTACCTGGCTGCATGCATAGCAAGTCTTAACTCTAGTACTATCTCTCTAGCCTCTAAGTTTGTTTTTAAAAATCAAGGTAATATGCAGAAATAGCTGGGGGCGGGGGCGAGCAATATACACCAAGGTGAAAATAGTATGCCTCACTTCAGTTATTCTGATAGAATCTACTAAATGAACTTGCTTTTGGCATATTATCTGGAATGCAACCTTTACAATAACCCTTGGTATAAATTACCATCACCTTTCGCATGGAGATTTGAAATAGTCCCTTTTTATCCTGGTTCTCCACTATAGTGTCTTTGCTATGAAAAGAGAGGAGGGGCCGGAGCGACAGTATAGAGGGTAGGGGGTTTGCCTTGCATGCAGCTTATCTGGGTTTGATCCCCAGTGGTCCCCGGAGAGCATTGCTGGGTACAACCTGAAAACCAAAAAACCCACAAATGAACAAAAAAAGTCAGACTGATCCATTCAGATCTTTCAGTCCTTTGCTCAAAATCAATTTTAAAAAATATTATTCTCTCTTGGGGTTGGAGTAATAGTACAGTGGGTAAGGTGCTTGCCTTGTAGGTAGCCAACCCGGGTTCTATCCCAGCACCCCATAAGGTCCCCAGAGCCTGCCAGGAGTGATTCCTGAGAGCAGAGCCAGGAGGAACCTGAGCACCGCTGGGTGTGGCCCCCCAAATGAAGAAAAACAAAACTCCTCTCCTGCCTTTCACAGGCAGTCCTATGCTCAGGCTGGCCATCCATCCTAAACAGAGAGGGTGATTGCTGTGTGTCTCGTCCGCCTCACTCTGCTGACTGAGCGCCACAGCAGGCAGGAAATGCACAGGCCAGGACAGTGCTCACATTCCTGGCTGAAGTCCTGGGTGTGGTGTGGCTTCCCTCTGGACCCCTTGGCCTCACTGTTCGCGGCCCCCTGCCCATCTCTTTGCAGGACTCTGCAAACCCGCCATGTGCTTCCACCTCAGGCACCGTTGAAGGGCCGAGCCTTACTCCCTGGAATACCTTTTTCAGAGAAGCTCGCTCCATGCCCTGCTCGAATGTTACCTGTCAGCCTTCCCTCGGAACTCTAAACTGCAACTTGTTTTAGTCTCTGGCCCCTGACTGTTGGAATTTTTCTTTTCTTCCGTGGAGTCTGGATCTGTTCATTGGGGCAATTTTAATTGTCTGCGTGGCTAAAGCTTCGCTGCAGTCAAATTGGTTATTCTAGCTCGGTGAAAGGGAAAAGTGAGCAAGAGCGCCCATGAGCACACATCGCTTCAATTATGTTCCTCTGAAGAGAAATTAGTGACCTAATGTGCCTGACGGGAAAACTCAGAGGAGAAGGGGAAAACATGTCTGGTGAACAATCTGCTCCCGCCTTCCACAGCTGCAGACTAAAATGCTGGCCCAGGGAGGGGCCGCTCAGACTCAACACACAAGGCTTGGTGTGTGGAACTGGGGTTTCCACAGCACCCCTATATCAAAAAACAATCAGTAAAATGTATGAAATATAAAACTCCATTATGATAATGGCTTATGCAATTATGATGGGGCAGATACTGTTCACCAGAGACTAGTACAATGCTGTGCCCACATTTTTGGTGCCACTCAAGGAAAAGTATTCCTGTATCAAATTCTTTGGCTCCATCACTCCATCTTTAGTTTACTTAAATTTCTACTGTGTCTCTAAAAAAAAAAATTCATACATATAAAAACGTCCAGGTTCTCAGCCAAACGGTCTATCGTATCTCTAGCCTGCCCTTTCTCCAGTGTAGACGTCTAGACCGCCAGGGATCTAGGGACTGCTACTCACTGGGCTGGACCAGAGGTTCTCACACCTACTCGGTCTGCTTGCACCCTTTTCAGAGGAAAAAAACTGCTCAATGCCCCCAGGAAATCGACCTTCTTTACGGGAGCAAAGCACCCACCAATTGCACCCGAGGTTGCACCCAGTAGTATCACCCATTTGGGAAAACCCAGGGCTAGGTCCACTCTTGGGTTCCATGTCTACCCATCTCTCCTTTTTCTGGGCTATAATCTCGAAAACTCCAGAAGAAAGAGCACAAATCCTCATGTGTTCACTGTACTCTGCTCTGGGTGCAGAACTGATTCCCCTCAGAAGTGTGACTGATAGCTTGTTCCTCAGTCCTGTGTCCTCAACAATTTGATGACATTCTGAGTTTCTATAGAGTTCCCCACCCTGGAAGCTTTGAAGATCTCTGTGACCTCAGAGTATATACATTTTTATATGCACTGTATGGCTCTGGAAGACTCTTACACATCTATCTCAGGTATTCCTACACCCTGAAAAACTTCACTGCAAGTCCTTTTACTTAAACTGAACCTCTTGGATTAAGGTATTTCTTATCTTTCCTATAATTTTTAAATGATCTATTCTTTAGGAGATTTTCCTGATAACTTTCAACCACCCAACTCTGTTTCTTTCCTTTTTCCTGTGTTCTGTAAATTCGACATCTTTTGGTACTCTAGATACCAAAATTGGTGCAGTTTTCCTCTGCTATCCAAAAGTTGAATGTTTCAATTTGATAGGTTATATTTTGCATTGGGAATACTAAAACAGTTTTAAAACATAATGTGTTAACAAGTAAAATCCAGCTGTTTATGTGACAAAGTAAAATTTATCTTAGAAATATAAAGGGATCTCAAAAATACACGTGATCATTTTAAGAGATGTTAAAAAGCTCACCATTCCAATAATAAACTGAGGAAAAGTTCCCAAGAATATCTCCTATATCAATAATAAAATTAAAAGTCAAACATTAGGTTTTCTTTTTGGGTCACACCCGGTGGTACTCAGGGGTTACTCCTGGCTCTGAACTCAGAAATTATTCCTGGAGGGACCATCTGAGATGCTGCGGATTGAACCTGGGTCATCTGTGTGAAAGGCAAATGCCTACCTGCTCTACTATTGTTCTGACCCAAACATTAGGTTTTCTTATTAGAATGTTTGTAAAGCTGAAAAGTATGTACTAATTACTGTTATACAATCAAATAAGGTAACAATACATATTATGAAATAAAAAAATTATAGAAAATACCATCATTCTGGAAATTTTAATGGACACAAACTCTATTTGTGGAAATTAGGAAGCAAATTATAAAAATGAGTGCTACTCATGATCAGGAAATGCAGACCAAAACAAGACTGAGATCTAATCTCACACCAGTGGGAATGGCACACTGTCCTCCCATTGTTCATCGATTTCTTTAAGCAGGCACCAGTAATATCTCCATTGTGAGACTTGTTACTGTGTTTGGCATATCGAATATGCCACAGGGAGCTTGCAGGCTCTGCCGTGTGGGTAGGATACTCTCGGTAGCTTGCCAGGCTCTCCGAGAGGGACGGAAGAATCGAACCTGGGTCAGCCGCATGCAAGGCAAACGCCCTACCCGCTGTGCTATCGCTCCAGCCAGGGAATGGCAAAAAGTTGAAAATATCCAGTGTTGGTGGGGTTGCTGTGAGAAGAGACCCCTTCTCCCCCTTGGTGGGAATGCCATCTGTGGAAGCCTCTGTGGAAAGCAATATGGAGATCTCTCCAAAAAACAGAAACAAAATTCTCATATGACCCAGTGATACCAAATCTTGGCATCTATTTTCCAAACACAAAAGCATTGATTTGAAAGGATTTATGTAACTTACTTTCACTACTGCACTTAGTATAATAAAATAGATATGGAAACAACCCAAATGCCCAACTCTGAATGAATGGATTAAGTAGCACAGTATTTCTACTCAATGGAATATTATGTGGCTCTAAGGAAAAGCCAAACCATGTAATTTGCAGCAATATGGATGGCACCAGAGCATGCAGAGTGGGTTTGTCAGAAGGAAAGGGATCGACACAGAATGATCTCTCTCCTATTTGGGACTTAAAGACACACAGCAAAGTAGAAACAAAGGTCCAAATGCAACACAATGGGAGAACTGATCCACACAATGGAGTTTGGGGGTGGGTGGGAGCTTAAAGGGAGGAGTACAAGGGTCTCCGTGGGCAGGCAAATATGCTGGTGAAGGTGGAGTGTTGGAATTTTGCGTATGGGAAACTATCATTAGCAGATCAACAGTACCGTAAATCAAACCCTAATCAATAGAGAAAGGTTCAAAAAATATAATGAATGCTATAACACTTTCCACTTGATGAGCAATGATGAATAGCAAAAAATATGTTCTGTGTGGAAGAGACTAAGTGGCCATTCATATGCTGCCAGGAGCACTGTATTTTATCATAACCTCTTGGGAAGATAATTTTAGAGTTATCAAAGGTCTTTTAAAAAATCCATATTTTTGAATTAGCAGCTCTTTTGGAGAAGCAAGTATGAATATAAAGGTGAATGGAAAAAAAAAGGAGTGTGGACATTCCCCCCAAACAGCAAATACAGAAACAATATTGATCACAGGACGCTCCTGATTAGTTCAAGATAGAGGGTGTAATCTGTGTTTAGAAAAATGAAGCGGAGAGAGCTCAAAGTGCTGAGTGAGTGCGGGAGGGGTGATTCTGAGCAGAGGCAGACTATGGTCCCAAAGTACCCCAATTTTTTTTAGTGGCTCCCAGAGATCACTCCTGGTGGGGCTTGAAGCAAGATTGGCTGCGCACTAGGCCAGTGTCCTACCAGCTATCTTTCCAATTCACTTTTTAAAAATTTTTATTAGTGAAACACCATGAGGTACAGTTGTAGACTTAGAAATTTTTTTGCTTGGGATCAAGTACCCATCCCTCCACCAGTGCCCATTCTCCACTACCAATATTCCCAGTATCCCTCTCACCCCTCCCCTGCCCCGTCCCCCTCCTATCCCATCCTGCCTCTGTGGCAGAGCATTCCCTTTTGGTCTCTATCTCCTTTTGGGTGCTGAGGTTTGCAAAAGAGGCACTGAATGGCTCTCATGTTCAGTCTATAGTCTACTTTCAGCATGCATCTCCCAACTGGGGAGGATCCTCCCAACTCCCTTTACTTGGTGTTTCCCTTCTCTATCTGAGCTGCCTTTTCCCCTAGCATGTGTGGCTGGCCTCCAAGCCATGGAGTGAACCTCCTGGTACTTGTCTCGACTATTCTTGGATGTTAGTCTCCTATTTTGTTACTTTATATTCTCCAGATGAATGCAATCTTTCTGACTGCTCCTCTCTTTCTGACTCATTTCACTTAGCATGATACTTTCCATGTAGTACCACTTGTATGTAAATTTCATGACTGCATCTTTTCTAACAGCTGCATAGTACTCCATTATGTAGATGTACCAGCTTCTTTAATCAGTCATCTGTTCTTGGACACTCAGGTATTTTCCAGATTTTGGCTATTGTGAACAGTGCAGCAATGAACATAGAAGTGCAGATGTCATTTCGACTATACTTTTTTGCTTCTCTGGGATATATTCTCAGGAGTGGTATTGCTGGGTCAAATGGGAGCTCAATTTCTAATTTTTTGAGAATCGTCCATACTGTTTTCCAAAAGGGCTGAACCAGTTGGCATTCCTACCAGCAGTGAAGGAGGGTCCCTTTCTCGCCACATCTGTGCCAGCACCGGTTGCTTTTGTTCTTCTGGATGTGGACCAGTCTCTGTGGTGTGAGATATCTCATTGTTGTTTTGATCTGCATCTCCCTGATGATTAGTGATGTAGAGCATTTTCTCATGTGCCTTTTAGCCATTCGAATTTCTTCTTTGAGAAAGTTTCTGTCATTTCATCGCCCCATTTTTTGATGGGGTTGGATGTTTAATTCTTGTGGAGTTCAACCAGTGCTTTGTATATCCTTGATATCAACCCCTTATCAGATGGGTATTCTGACCACTGTTTTTTTTGAGGTGCAGAAGCTTCTTAATTTAAGATAGTCCCATTTGTTTA